ATGATCAGCGTGTGGGGCTGTTGGTGGGTGGGAGGCGCTGGGAGGGAGGGGGAGTAGATGATCAGCGTGTGGGGCTGTTGGTGGGTGGGAGGCGCTGGGAGGGAGGGGGAGTAGATGATCAGCGTGTGGGGCTGTTAGTGGGTGGGAGGCGCTGGGGGGAGCGGAACTGGCTGCCGGTGGGTGCTAAGCACCTACGAATTTTTTTCCGTGGGTGCTCCAGGACTGGAGCACCCATGGAGTCGGCATCTATCAGGAAATGACTCATGTCTGGATTCTCTTCTTATTCCAGCAGGGGACGACGTCATCGCCCAGAGGAATCCCGCAGGCGATAGGCCGACCATATGCAATGAGTGCGGGAAGAGCTTCAGAGGGAGCTCAAACCTCGTTCAGCATCAGAGGATCCACACGGGGGAGAGACCTTACAAATGCGCAGCCTGTGCGAAGAGCTTCCGCCAGCGCTCGCACCTCCTCCAGCACTGGAAGATCCACACGGGGGAGAGACCCTTTGAATGCCCCGACTGCGGGAAGAGCTTCAGTGTGAGCTCCGCCCTCATTAGGCACCAGAAAACTCACACGGGCGAGAGACCCTACGCATGCACCGAGTGCGGGAAGAGCTTCAGCGTGAGCTCCGCCCTTACTAGGCACCAGCGCATCCACACAGGCGAGCGGCCCTACATGTGCGCCGAGTGCGGGAAGAACTTCAGTGTGAGCTCCCACCTCGTGCAGCACCAGCGCATCCACACGGGGGAGCGGCCCTACGTGTGCGCTGAGTGTGGCCGGAGCTTCAGCCAGAGCTCCCACCTCCTCCAGCATCAGAGGGTCCACACAGGCGAGCGGCCCTACGAATGCACCGAGTGCGGGAAGAACTTCAGCCAGAGCTCGGACCTCATCAAACACCAGAGAACCCACTCGGGAGAGCGACCCTACGAATGCCCTTGCTGCTTTAAAAGCTTCACCTGGAACTCAGTGCTCATTAAACACCAGAGAGTGCACATGGGACTGAGACCCTATGAGTGTGGCCAGTGCGTGGAAAGCGTCAGCCCTCATCATCCCTCAGAGAAACCACACACGGCACAAACCCCACTGATGGAGCATCGGGACACCAGCCAGTGTAATGCATTTGCTCCTATGAGCAAGTCACTTCAACTCTCTGTGCTGCGTCTTCCACCTCTGCCTAAAGGAAAATGGGAATAATGGGATCCTCTGGTCTTTGCTTATAGGAGAGGGCTCTGCTCACCCATCACCAGCTGGGACTTTTCCTGGAATTATAGGGTTTGGGAGGTTTCTTTTCCTTTTACTATAGAGTGGGTTGAGTGCCGTTTCTGGAAATCCAGGTTTAGGAGATTTTCCAGTGAGTTTGGTTCCAGTTTCAGTGAAGTCTTTATTTGTTGCTGCGGGTCCTTGGAATTTGGGTTTGAAATGTTAAAAATTCTCAATAAAAGTTTGCATTAAGATACCATTGTCTTGCAATTTTTATTAGTACTCAGAGTGCAAGAAGCTAATTTCTCCAGATGGAATTATTCCCACTTTTCGGTATGCAGCCCATTTACTAATAGTGTCTGTGAATGTCCAGGAGACAGGATACATGAGATCCCAACGTGGTGACTCAGAGAAATGTAAACTCTTCCAGCAGCAGATCCACTCTTGCTCCCTGGTACTAATTCGAACTTTCGTCTCTCCTCTCCGGATCATATTTAACTTCTTTAGACCCCATTTCAACAAAACACTTCAAATGCTTATGTCCCCTTGACATCAGTGAGACTTTAGCAAGTGTTTAAAGTTAGTAAGTGGTGTGTTGAGTAGAGATGAACATAAGCATGTGTTTTAGAGTTTTGCTAAATCAGAGTTTAATTCCCTAACTTCCAGGACTGTCAGTTCAACAGTGGGATTGTTTATTCAGGGTGGGTTTTCAAAAGCACCAGAAGGAGTTATTGGATTTCAGTGGGAGCAGGGCACATAAATCACATCTTAATAAGGGTAGTTAGTCGGCGCAAGGTGGCAGCGAGGTTTGGGCTTCCTTCACAGAAGAGAGATGGATCGGAGCTACATTTTTAAACCACTGCACAAAGAATTACATCCTCTTACTTGTTAATACCGGTTGTTATGCTTGTAAATGTGGAGATCATTGTGATGAGTCACAGAATTCCTATTAATTCATTAAACAAACAAACACATCAATTAAAAAAACAAAACTAAAACCAAATCAATGGCCCTAGAAAATAACCCTTGTCTATCCCAGTGGGATGCAATCTGGGGGATTGTGCTTGTGTGACTCCTCAGTAGGCAAAGTAACACAGTTAGCCCATGTCTTGATGTCAATAAATAGACTAAGCCTTGGACGCTCTGCACTTCCTGGGACAGTGCGTCTGAGAATTGTTATGTTGTATCAATACAATGTCTGTTGTTATAATGGGTGAACCTGAAGCTCTAGCCCAGAGCAGGTATTAATTTTGTATCCTATCTCACCTTCTCCAGAGCTCATAAAGTAACAATACATCGGTAAACTGGTGGAGATCAATGGATATGTTGATATACACCAGCTAAGAATCTGGCCCCAAACATTTGGTAGCAACAAGGTGGAATTTCAAACTAGGTTCAGAAATCTTGAAAATGCTTTTGAAATGTCCCTAGTGAAAACAATCCAGGGAGATTTGGAGGCAAGCTATCAAAGCAAAAGATATAAGCATTTAACCCCTCAGGGGTTCAGGTGGGATTTTCCAATAGAGTGTACGGGGCTCAGTTTCTAGTTTAACTGCGCATTTTCCCTAACAGATTAAACATAGTTGTTGCAGATGAGGAGAAATACATTTTGCTTCTGCAACAGGACGTTGTACATCTTTCTTTGCTTTGGACTTTTTTCTTCTTTTATGAAAGGGGCAGAATATGATGAGAACCTCCCTGTATCACCACTAAGAAAGCCTCAAAGAATCCGCATGTATTTGAATGACTTGTCATTGACAAAGTATTTGTTGTTTTCCAAATATTTGTGATTGATGTGCAGTTCATTATTTCCTGATGGAAGTGAAAAATTCAGCATGTCCCAGTAACTATTTGCCCAATCTTTGTTTTTCTTTCTGGCGGATTTGAACACCTGAGTATGGGCAATCTTTCAGCTACTCTGTACGGACTCCAATTTCCATCCCTAAAATTTCACCTGCCCATTAGCAAATGCCGCAGAAGCACCGTTCCCCAGCTAGAAAGAGAGAATCTAGGGTCTGATTTTTCAAAGGTTTTGAGTACCTCTAGACACCACTGACTTCAAGGGAAGTTGAGGTGCCTAAGATCTCTGAAAAATCTTTTAACCTCAAGT